TAAAAGAATTTAATACAAAAAAAAAAAAAGAGAAAGAAGTAAAGATAGGAAATGAAGAAGTCAAATTGTCATTATTTGCAGATGACATGATACTCTTTCACAGTCATTTTGACTTTGGGAGAGCCAGAAGTTCCACAATGGCAGTCTGGCGAACATGGTGGATGAGGCCACACAGTAATGTTTTCATGAGCCTGCCTTTCTGATGGTACTCAGCGGCATCATTCACTATATTTTTTATTGGACCTTATGAAAACCTCAGAGGACTTCCAGAACTTCTTCAGAAAGTGGCCAGAATGATGGGACAAGTATGTTCAAACTAAGGGGAGTATTCTGAGGAGGATTAATGACAATGTGTCTTTTAGTATAATAAACTTTTTAATTTAAACATTCACCATATACTTCAATCACACCATATATAGATATATTTGTAAGTTATATATCTATATATCTATATCTGTAAGATATACTTATCTATAAATATTTATCTTCTATATTCCTACAATTTATATGTAAAGATTGTTTAAAAAGAAAACTGTGGTGATGATTTTTATTGGCTATCTCATAAAGAGAAAAATTTGGTAACAAAAGATAATGCATATAAAATCCAATATAATGAACTATGTAAGCAAAACACTTTTATTTTCCTAAGTTTTGTCAAATACTGTCTTCAGTAATTTGCCTTATGGTTTTGCAATCTTTGATCTGCATTCCCACCACTATTCCTTTTACTACCAAACAACCCATTCCTATACTGTAAAATTTATAAATATGTGCACATTTTTCCTAAACTTATACCTATAAATGTTAAATACTGTCTTCTTTGCAGATCTGATCAGCATAGCTGATCAGGACTTTGATTTGAAACTTAGCCAAATTTGATTTCAATATTAAATATTAGGGCCAAGCTTGTATGAAGCAACCTATGCTAAAGGAGAAATATCCTTAGGAAGAGAAGATTTTAAGACCCAAAAGGATTTATTCCTAGGAAGCATTCTGATCTAATATGTCATCAAATGTGAACTATACGTTTCTTTCACCATAAAGATAAAGTCTGATTTTTTTCTTCCTTTCTTATCCAGGAATGTTGTCATTATCTGTTTTTATACATCTAAACCTAATTCCCTATATTCCATACAGGATGTCCAAACCCAAAAGCAGGCTAACTTCTTCACACCTACAGTGCAGAAATTCCTTTAGAGAAAAAATCAGTAATAACATGCACACAAAAGAAAGGCATGAAGTAACATCTCCTAAAAAGCAATGCTTCAGGAATGTACACGGATTTGACTGATTTTTATGGTTATGCCACTAAAGAGCTAAAAGAATTTCACATTTGAACTCAAAAATTCCAAATTTATATTTTGGTTTTTTTACCTGGATATGGCAGCTTTTTCCATTATTTCTTGCTGAATGAGCCCAGATGGCTCAATGACATCCAATATAATTATGCTCCACAATTTGTCTAATTTGGGCCTTTGCAAGACAGCAGACTCATCCTCCACATGTCTCAGCCAAAATTCAAGTGTTTCTTTAGGAAAGTGATTGGCTTCAGAGATGAGGCCTAGAGCAATCCTATGCTGGTCTTTCTCGACAGAACTATAAGGCTTCACCTGCCCAAGTGTGCCAGCAATTATAGGCAGAATAGAGAAGCCTTCAGACACATCCAAAACATAGGAAGGCTCAGGGGTACTCTGTATAGTATTAGTCTGTCCAGTTTCAGAGCTCATTTCATTATCCTGACAGTGAGTATCCATGACCTGATGCAGTTTCTCTGGGGTCAATGAAGACAACACTTTCCTCATTGCCATTTTAAAGCCTTCGTGATAAGGGATGTTGTTAAGTAAAGCAATTTCTGTGGATTCCAACACACATGTCTGCTCTACACCATCTGGTTTACTAGTCTGAAGGTTAGCCAGAGCACTACAGAGTTCAGCCTCATTTTCCAAAGACAGTAAGTCTTTATTCTTGGTACAACTTTTCGAAACTTCCATTTTATGTTCTAAATCCAAAATGCTGGTACTCTGAATTCTTAGGTAACAATCTTGACAAGATACTTCCATTGTTACATGGTCTCCAGGCTTTACACTATAGTCTTCATCAGTAAGAAAGAAAAAAGTAATCGATTAATATAAAATGCAATATGCCTGAGAAACACACAAAAATCTCCATCCCCCATCTAATTCCTTAATCTTTAAATCATTACAAGACAGATTCCATCTGCTAGTTTAATATGCATGCACACACGCACACACACACACACACGTGTGCACAGGGACAACTCCACCACTAGCTTTACTTAGGGGAAAAACTGTAATTTGAAGATTTCCTTAACTTTTAGCGTAATGGAAATATTCAAAAGCTCTACTATTGAATCCTAAAACTAACAGTATTTCCTTTTTTATTTGTTTTGCTTTTTGTTTTGTTTTTTACTGAGATCAGTAGGTATCATCATGTCACCAAATCAGGAGGGGAGAGCTGAGTGGCAGGGAGTACAGATACTGCAGGGGATACTCTCTTTTAATCATCCTCAGTACATAAGCTAACAAAAATAAAGACAAAATTTAGAGATCAGTACACTCCACTTTACTTTACAGGAGCATTAAAAGAAATTTTGAAAAGAACAAGGCAGCATTCAACAGAATGATGTCAGTAATATTTCTTAACCATTAGGTTACTGTCACATGTTTAGGGATTTCAAAGTATAAGAAAGGGCTAAGATCTGAAATAAGGACTATATCATGCTCCTTACTATGGGCTTTCACATATGGTAAAACCTTAAGAATACAAATGTAAAACTGCAATTCCTTCTCATCAGTTCTAGGACCATTTAAAAATACAAATTTTTGACCTGGGGATTTAGCTCAGTGGTTCCGGTGCCTGCCTCACAAGTGCAAGGTCCCGAGTCCGATCCCCCGTACCCAAAATAAAAATACAAGTCTTAAAATGTCCTTTCAGGATTAAAAAAAGGACATTAAGTTGCTATGAGAGTTATAAATACAGATTAAAAAATGTCACTTACTGAGTACCAATCACTGTGGGTAGCATTTTATACCTATCATCTCTAATGATGCCTACAACACATCCATTTTTATATACGATAGGAAATGACCACCAATGCTGGCCAGCAGGGAGTCAGTAAGTGGCACAGCCAAGATATGAATTTGAATCTACCAGACTAACTCCAAAATTGTCACAACAGCCACAATACTATATAGATTCCATGACTTAATGATCTTGCTAGAGACTAAACAGAAAATGTACTATCTTCCAGTTTTAAAAGGGTAGAACTTTTCTAGATAAACCACTGTGAAGTTACTAAACCTCATCAAATAGCTATTTTAAAATATTCCAGATAAAAATATCTTTAATGTAGAATTCCCCTGAAATTGCAAAATTTTGTGCTTACTTTAGTGTGTACATTTTTATTACCTGGGGCTACACAGATATCACTAGATTCTCTAAGGATTAAGAATATCATTTTTTTAATCTACTGATAACTAGAAAAACCATTTAAAACCATTAAATAATTTAAAGATAGGTATTTCTTAAGGGTATGCAACAGAGTTGTGTTTTAATCTCTCTTATTACATATATTAACTAAAGAATGCTTTTGAAAAAGAAAAATAAAATTCTGAAAGACTGAACCAATCTATCTTGACTAAAAACTTCATACCCAAAGTAATTTTTTTCTTTTTAGCTACTGACTCAAATGCTTAGAGGATTAAACCAGTAAGTTTAAAAAAAAAAAAAATCAGACAAAATGTACCTGTCAGTTCTTGCACAGGGTAAACAGCCTGTTCCCAACATGTTTCCTCACTAGGACTTGTAGACAAACTGTGTTCATCATCAAGCTGGAGCACAAACCAAACTACAATAGCATCTAGTATACCTTCTTTAATAACAGGAATACCAAGCTTATCAGGCTTTTTGGTTGCAAGACTTTTTAATTCCTGAGAAAAAAATAAAAGGAATAAGAATATTTTATAAACTGAATATTCACATGCCTCAATATCACACCACTGTCCATCTCTGAAGTTCTCAGCTCTGTGCAGCACCCACAGGGAATCAATACATTGGAACAGCTAAATACCACCTATGACACTGAATGGGGAGCTCTGACCTAATGAATTGAAACAGCACACACTTAGTTAACAATGAGACAAATATACACTATTGATGCAGCAAGAAGTCTATGATATAATGTTGGAGACAAAGGCAAGTGGCAAGGTAATAGGGCTTTTTTTTTTTTTTAATGTGTGAGTTTATGGAACAGAAAAGCAATTCTGGGAAAAACGCTCTTCAAACTAGTGACCTGGAGAAAGAAGGACCAAGACTAAATGGGAAAACATGGGAAAAACAGTAGGGTCTTTTCATTTCTAGTCTTCCATATTACCTGAAAGTATTAAATAGGCAGACATTATTTTTTAAATTAAAACCTTAATAAGATGGGGGCAATGAAAAAGTAACAAAAATGCTTAAAATAATAACAGAATACCTTTGGGTAATCAGCAGCTACACTCCTATTGGAATGTTATGTCAGATAAGGAAAAGTCTTAAAGCTCGAGAAGACATCTCAGCTTTAGTAAGCAATGCCAAATTGTTAAGTTTGTTGCAGACTCCCTCAAGAATAACCTAGTAATAACTAGCAGAGGAAAATGTCTATTTAATTTTGAAAACTTTAGGCTACATGACCTTCAAGGTTTTCTGCCCCCACGCAGGTTCAAGTAAAACATGTGTGTACTTTAACATTCAACCTTAAAGACCTTCAGAAAAGGAATCTATATAACTTTCTCAATTTCTTTGAGCACTTTCTAGATACAGCATTATTTTTCTACTACCTATCAATAAACACACTACAAATAAGGGTGATCAACTGTCCTCCTTTTCTCATGACTCTCCTAGTTTTAAAACTGAATGTCCTTTCTTAAGGACTCCCCAGTCCTGGGCAAATTGGGATGACTGGTCACCCAAAACCAATACAACCCTGAGGTTTGGATTACTGCTCATCTCAACAAATATAGTCAATTTGAAAAAGTACCATGACATAGGGAAAAAATGACAGACTGGTTAGAATGCTTGCCTCTGCATTCACATGCTGAAAAATTTGGCCAAAACTAATATGAGCAACAGTTTCTTCACCTTAAGACATATGTAAAAGCACCAGGCACACTATCCATTTCCAACAAATCTTCGGGATTTTCTTTCTACTTAAAGTAAGTGAATACTTTTAGGAGGGAATTCTAATTCCCTTTAATAAATTTTTTTAACACACTCTTAAGGAGAATCTCATGCAAATTCTTAAGAGGGTCCTATGAATTATTTTAAACAATTCGTGAAATGTAAAGCTTGAAAACAGTAATCAAACTTCTTGTTTTTTACCTGAAGATTGTTGAAATCTACTTTCATAATTTCAAAGCCTTCTGTCAAAGCCAAATACCCTCCAGGAACTTGATTCATCTTTTCAGTTGTATAAGGTTCTACTGTTTCTTCAGTATCTATTGAAGAATAAGCAGGACTCTGAAATTTCATGTTTGTTGGCAAATGGATACCAGCAATGTCCTTAATACCCACTCTGGTGAGAGAGAAAATAAGAGGAGAAAAAGATGAATTTTTTAAGAATCAAGTAACACCATCTAATATTGAGTGCAGGGCCAGGGATTTAGTTCAGTGGCACTGTGCCTGCCTCGCAAATGCAAGGTCTTGAGTTCAATCCCTGGTACCAAAAAGAAAAAAATATTGAGTGCAGAACATAAACATAAAAATAAAATAAGATCTCACCAGCAAAAGTTTTTTAAACACACATACACAAAAAGTATAAAGGAAAACAAATGATAAACAGGTTTCCATTAAAATTAAGAACTTTTGGGCTGGGTAGTACAGTGGTTCCACTGCCAGCAGAAATTCACATATATTATCATTAAAAGAATGTGCAAGATGTTTGTAGTTATATTGCTTCAAATAGCTAATTGACATAACCTAAATGTCCATCAACCTGACAAATGTAAAATGGACAAATATATTATGGTGTACTCATACAATAGGATATTATTCAGCAATGAGAATAAATTATACATAAAATATACAAAATGGACAAAAGAAGCCAGGCATAGGGATTCACGCACACTAAAATCAAACTACATGATTCACTTGTATAAAATTCAAAAGGGACAACACTAACAATGTTAGACACCAGGATAGTGGCCAGTCTTGGGGGAGTGGGGCACTAGTAATAGGAAGGGGTTTCTTTCTAGGGTGTTTTTTTCTACAGTTGTAGTGGTGGTAATGTTCCAGGTGTATCAACTTCACAAAAACTCATTGAATCATTAATTTATGATTTATGCACTTGCTATAAAAATGTCTGCATCAAAAGAATTTACATTAAAAAATACTTTATGACAATTTTAGCAATACTATTGTTATGATTTAGATAAAAAATATCCCCCAAATGGACTGGGGAATTAGCTCAGTGGTGCTGCCACCTGCCTTGCAAGTGCAGACAGAGTCCCAAGTTTGATCCCTGGTACCCAAAATAAATATATATATACACACACACACTCACACACACACATATACATATATATATACACACACATACATATACATATATATATCCATATATATCCATATATATATATATATATATATATATATATATATCTCCCCCAAAGCCTCATGACCTCAGAGGAGGTGTTTGGGGAAGGTGACTAGGTCATGGTGGCACTATATTCATTAGCAGGTTTATCCACTAACGAGTTCACCAGCTCAGTATACCATTAGGAGGTGGGGCCTGGCTGGAGGTGGGTCACTGGCAGAATGACCTGGAAGGGTGTAATTCTTGTCCTGTCTCCTCCCTTTTCTCTGCTTTCTGGCCACCATGACATGAGCAATATTCCTCCACCAGACCCTTCCACCATGCTGTTTCTCCTTGGAGCCCACTATAGACTAAAACCTCTGAAACTAGGAGCCAAAAAGAAGTTGCAGGTGTCAGGTTTTGTTGCCTCAGCAACGAGGAAAGTGACTAAAACAACCACTCTGTAATAGAAAACATTCCAACCTATTCTCACCTCATCTCAGTGGCAATCTGCTTATTACTAGTAGAAATTCATGGATTCTTATTCAATGGATTTTAATCCTTCAATGTTAGCCCTTGTTTACCTTGGTGCTTAAATTTTCCTAGATGTGTCCAGAGAGACTGCAAGCATGCTCCTGGGTCCTTCAAACATGCCCTGTGATATTTTATTTTTAAAGTACTTCCTTACTTTCTCACATAAGACATTCCAGAATCTATCCTGTCCCAGTCCTGGAATGAACCAGCTCTGTAAGGACCTCTAGTCCCTTTTGGTGAGAAATGGTATTTAGAAAACAAGACCCGGATGCTGGGTATACTCACTGCTCCTAGGACTGTGCCTTGCCTTTTTCACATAATACTACACCATGCATTTGACCATATATACACATTAACTAATTCTTGGGGACACCTGTACAATACTGCATTGGGTGACATAGTTATTTTTAAAAATATTTTCTTGTTAATAAACAATTAGATAGTTTTTGAGTTTCTTTCAATTACAGTATTGCAGTGAACAACTTTAACCATGAGTCATCGCACATATGTATGTCAGGACAGACCCTCAGAGTTTGGAGCATGGAGTCGCTATGCCAAGGACTATAAATATCTTTATTTTTGTTAGAAAATTTCAAAATAAACAACTAGAATGTTGTATGAACAGTGTGTAAATTTTCCCCACATCAATAAGAAAACAGGATATCAATCACTTTTAATGTTTGCTAATATAAGCAATTATACAGGTTATCATCCCAAGGATTTTAATTTCACTTTCTAATTAATATATAATTATAATCATACTTTGTTGTAAAAGTTGCAAATTTTCATCTGAGTTTTTCCCTTGTCTTTTAATTTTATAATACTCTTATCTTTCACCAGTCTAATTTTTTTTTAAATGAGGTCAAATGTGTCAATCTTTCATGGTTTCTGGAGCCTACCCTGTATTTTGCTTCATCATTTAATATTTTTTTCACTTAGATGTTTAGCTCATCTAGAATGAAAAGTAAGGATCTAACTTTTCTCCCCAAATGATATATACCATCCCTATTTACTAAACAGTTTACCTTCTCCCCCGACTGATCTGAAATACCACATATATCACACAAAATGCATATAATTTCAAAGGTCTGTATCTAAATTCTTTGTGTTGCACTGATGCATTTTTCTCTGCATCAATATATTCCTGATTTTATTTCTAAATTTTAATATCTAATAACTCAAATTTCAATTTTCTTAAATATTTGCTTATTTGGCTGAACATTAGATTTAATTCATTAGGTTCCAAATGGTAAATTTATTTTATTGGTACATTTTAGGTATACAATATAATGACATTCATCATTGAAAATTTGTACCTTTACATAATCTCTCTTGGTTCTTATTTTTCCCCCATTCCCCTGCCCTCCCTATTTACAAAGACTTTGTTTCCATTTTTTCTTTTCTCATATTAATTCCATTGCCTTCCTTCCTTTCCCCTGCCCCTCCCACTTCCCCTTCCCCTTTGGACCTTTTCTTCCTATTTCACAATATCTACTATTTATAATAATGGTAATTTTATTTATAATAATAATTTATAAAAGTTTCTACCAAGTAAAGCAGTACACTCACATTTATCTTTTTAGCACCTTTCTTCACAGCCCTCAACCCAAACTGCTGAATTTTGGTAGGGGGAGGGGACAGGGCGTCACTCACACAGATCAACTCAATCAAAATGTACCAAAGTGCCTTTGGTGGTTCTGTTGTACAGTCAGCTATAAAAATGCATCAATGATGAAGTTATTCTTTTTGAAAACAGCAGACATCAGCCCCTGGATTTGTTTTGTTTATGCAAACAATTTTAGGGGTTTTCCTATAAAATATAAGGAGGAACTATTTAAGGCATGTTACAGCAAGAATCCTCACACCACCTCCCTTCTGGTGGGTTATGCAACAATGTGTTTAAATAGCCTAAAAAATGTACAACTCTTTAACTTAGCAATCTCTTATTAAGGAACTTATCCTAAGAAAGTAATAAAAAATCCACAAAAGACATAAGTACAAAGATGTTTATCCTGGCTCTTCAAAGCAGAACAGTGGAAACAACCTAAAATTCTAAATTTACAACATCAGGAAACAGATTTTAAGAAATCATGAACCAAGCTGAGTGTGGCAGCACAACCCTGTAATTCCAGCACTTGGGAGGCTGAGATAGGAGGATCACCTCAAGTTCAAGGCCAGCCTGGGCTACACAGTGAGTTCAAGGAGAGTCTGAACTACATAGTGAGACCCTATCACATAACTAAAGTTTTTTTTTTTTTTGGGTACTGGGGATCGAACTTGGGTCCTTGCGCTTGCGCAACAGGAGGCGAAACCACTGAGCTAAATCCCCAGCCCAACATAACTAAATGCTAACATGTATCAAAATTAACTTTCCATAAAAAAGTTGGCTTTATTCAGGGAGCTCTATTTTAAAACAAAATTTAAAAAAACAGGCAGAAATTACAAACATCATGAATTTAAAGGTCAGAAAACTATAAATCCTCATCAATATAAATATGCACTAAATAACCTTTGAAGTATACAGTATACTAAAATTACTGTTTTTTAATATTTATTAGTCACTTACCTGTGATGTCGTCTTATCTCTGCACACTCTACTGCCATCCCAAATACAACAGCACTTGCTGGTATAACTTTCCCATATTTTTCACTATTATCATTCTCACCTTTGATCTAAAAATATAACAACAAAATTACTATTAGCTATAAAAAATGTGTACAATGACAAACTATGAAAATTATAGAAAAGTTTAAAAATAATAGAGATAAGAATCTTACTTAAAAAGTATTTTCACTACTATGTATATACACACGTTTATGTTTTTACAAAGGAGGGAGGTAAAGAACTATAACAAAAGACCTTTGGATATGACTGAGAATATAAAATCATCATTACCTACTCAAAAACTATATGCTTTTTGTTTACCCTTTAGCTATTCTAAATCTAAATTATTTTCTGTAGAGAATTCTTACATGTTAAAATCTTTTCATTCATGGCCTGGGGATTTAGCTCAGTGGCCTCATCGCTTGCTGCGCAAGTGCAGGGACCCAAGTTCAATCCCCAATACCAAAAAAAAAAACCTTTTCATTCATAATACACATTATATGTTATATATCTATATTATATACACATCTAGGTTTTGTTACAGCAGAGGATTTCAATGCAAACATAAGGGTTGTTTCTGTCCAATCAGATTGAGTTCAACAAGTACCTTAAGGGGCCAGGGATTTAGCTCAGTGGTGCTGTGCCTGCCTCACAAGCACAAGGTCCTGAGTTCGAACTCCAGTACCAAAAAAAAAAAAAAAGTACCTCAAAATTGTTTCAAGCCTGTATCACTACACTCCTTTTTGATGACTTACCAAAATTCCAAGCAATGAAAGACATGCAATCACCTTCCTTTTACAACCATTCTCAAGAATTCTACATTAGCTCTTCTACAAGATAACCTTAATTCCTATAAATTGCTTCCTAGAGGTTTTTTTGTTTTGTTTTTAGAGACAGGATCTCTCTCACTCACTAAGTAGTCTAGGCTGGCCTCGAACTCAGAGATCTTCCTGCCTCAACCTCCCAAGTACTGGGATTACAGCTGTGTACCACCATGCCTAGCTTCTTCCTAGAGTACTTTTTGCCTGCCCTCATTTGAACGCATGAGTATACACTGCATTATGATGTTATTAAATGTTTTAGGCCTGGATTTCTTTCCAACTATTGAATATGTACCTTGACAAAGAAATATATTTCATATTGCTTTACAGACACTCTACGAGAAGTTCAATAAATATTGTTAAAATTGTGATTTTTTTTTTTTTTTTTTTTTAGTAATAATGGAGATTGAACCCAGGGTCTTGCACATGTTAGGCAAGCATTCTACTACTGAGCTACATCCTGAATCCTTTTTAAAATTATGAGACAGGGTCTCACCAAGTTGCCTAGGCTGGGTTCAAACTTGCAATTCTCCTATTTCAGCCTTCCAAGAAAAAAATGAATTCTTAATCAAATTTAAGTGTTTCTGTGCTGCTTACCTTTGGCTGCAAAAGCAAATTCTCCCATGCATGAATCAAACTCTCCACAATTCCTTCTCCAAATAAACCTGCATCGACAGTTTCTGTTACAACTAGGGACACTCTATAGAATGATTTTTTAAAGATATATGTAAGTAAACTATCATGCTGTTTATATAAAGATGTTAAAGCTGAGAGAAGAGAGAAATATATTATAGAACAGTCCACATGTAAAATTTTTTAATACATTTCATTTTAATATCCATCCCTGAATCTTAAAGAACTTGACTCAAATGTTCCTCAGGCTCTTCTGTCCACCACTGGCTCCTCCTTGGTGTAGGGGTAGGAGGGTTGACAACAAACTCACTTGGCAATGTTGTCTCCTCAGGGTATTCTTTCACTGCCTAAATCCTCAACAGGAGTTCATACTCATTACCTTTCCCAGGCTCCTTCCTTAAGGCCAAGCAATTGGCCTAACTCTAATAATTATTCTATAAAAATATTCTCTATCACTATTAGCTCTCTGCATATCAATATTGTCTTTTCCAGTTGTCATTTTTTAATTTACAAGTAAAATTTAAAGCAGGTGAGAGTCCTCCCTCTCCAAAATCCAGATTCTATCTTCTATGATACCACATTACCCAAGTTTGCCTCTTAGTTAACTGAGCCTACTTATTGCTTCCCTTGGATCTTCACAAAAGCCTAGCCCATCCTTCTGCCCATTCTTACTTTCAAGAAAATTCTACTTGAAAACACACTAAAATAATGTCTCCCTTCTCTGAATTACTTATTCATTTTTGTAACCTGAAGATAAAGCAAAGTTTCATGACCATTCCTTATCTTCTAGCCAGACTGCAGGTATCTGGAGGAGCAGGAATGACTTTTGTATCCTCCACAGTGCCTAAACCCAGTATTATTTGAATATACAGAAAATACAGTAGTCACTATTTACAATTGTTCGTATTAGAATGTGGAAAATATCTCAAATCATCTAGTCCAACATCTTAAAGTCTAGTGATCTGCTAAAGGCCAAAATCAATTAATAACAGAGTGAATTAAAATTCATATCTCCTAATTCAAAGTTAGATCTTTCTACACCTCTGTGAAAAAAATAAAAATTGAATTAAAAATAACTTTAGATTCATAGCACAGACTTAATTTTGTCTCCCATAATTCTTGTTAAAACCTTAACCCCAGAAATAACTATATTTAGAAATAGAGCCCTTCACTATTAAAGTAAAATGAGGAATACAGGGTGGAGCCCTCAACCAATACAGGACTTGTGTCCTCACAAAACAGTAAGACACTGGAGATCATACTGTCATACACAGAGCTAAAGCCACCTGACAAAACTGCAAGAAGGTGGCCATCTGCAAGCAAGGAAGAGAACCTGCCTGAGAAAATAAGTGTCTGTTGTCATTTAAGACACTGAGTCTGTGGTATTCTGTTAGGTAACCTGAACAGACTAAGACAATTCAGGATGGTATTTTTGCTTTTGTTTTCTATAAAATGGGCATATACCTGTTTTAATAATCTAACATGCTTCTTTCATGAGAACACATGTAGAGACCACTGAAAAGTATAAGTACTATGCAAACATTATTACATATAGAGAATGAAAGAAAAAGAGAAAGCCTCTAAAATGATAATGTTGAGCCAAATCAGTTTTTGTGTGTGCAGTTCTTCGTGTTTTGGGGTTTTTTTAGCTGTACTGAGGACTGAACCCAGGGCCTTCACAATGAGCTACATTCCCAGCCCTTTTTATATTTCTTTTGAGATATTGTTTCAATAAGTTGCCCAGGCTGGGCTCACACTTTAGATCCTCCTGCGTCAGTCTCCCAGAGTGCTGCGATTACAGGAATATACTACCACGCCTGGCTTGGAAAAGATGATTTTTAAATTCCTTCTAGGTCTAAAATTCCATCACCCTTGTGATATGGATCACAATCAGATAGCACATTAAAAAACCAAAACTAGGGCTAGGGATTTAGCTCAGTGGCACAGCGCCTGCCTTGCAAGTACAAGGTCCTGGGTTCGATCCCCAGTACCCAAGAAAGAAAAAATAAATAAATAAATAAATAAATAAATAAATTGCTTTAAACCAAAACTTAGGAATTATATTCCAAGCATTTGAATGACACAATGTCAAAATACACTGACAACTGACACTTCCAAAGCTTTCATTTTAAACATGGATATCAATACAAAATATGATAAGCTCATTCAGTCTGATTTCTAAGGATAATTTTTAAAGTTATTTATCATATGAGATTATCCATCTTTACAAATCAGAACACTGAAACTAACAAAAGTAAAGTAACTTGCTAGAGACCAAGTTTACTTACTAAATTCCTCTGTCATTTTTTCTCAAGATCTTTAAATATTTTTCATGGAGCATATGACATTACTCTGAAAATGTGTCTCTTATTAAACTATCCTATATCTTTACAAAATAGGGGTGTTGGCATTTTTGTTAGGACTAGAAGCTATAAGTGTATCCTAATTTTTAAAAATAAAACTAAATTATGAACAGTAAAATTATTTTATAATAATACCTTTCAGGAATATGTTTTGGAATTTCTATGTCAAGTGACTTCATATGTAGGAGCTTTATCCCTGCTTCCATCTTGTTTGCAGCCACTACATCATAGGCAAGTTCATACATCGTTTTGGATAACTCACAGGCATATACCGATTGTGCCCCAGCTTTTTTAGCAAACATGCTACAAAGGGAAAAAATGTTCCATCAGAAATAATAACAGTAATCCAAAAATAGTAACTTTTCAAATTTCAGTGTAATTTGGACACTTTAAACATGAGGTTTTCTTTTTATTCTTTCACACAATCAATTCTGCACTGAAAAATGAACTAACATTCTTGAAACAAATCATTCAATAAATCATGACATTCACCCTATTAAGAAGACACTATTGGCATGAAGAATACTAATAGGCTTTTTAGATTCTACAAGAATGTTAATACAAAAATATTCTTAAAATTATTTATATTTTAAAAATTCTTTAAAATTTCAATAATCTCAAACTTTTCTTCGCAGTTTTCACCAGCTCTTAATAAATTAATGAACAAATACAATAACAGTTCCATCAATAACAAGACTATAATAACTACTATTTTAAGTCTAATATTAAATTTACTATATACAGCAAATCTTTTATTTACATCAGTATACAAGTATATACAATTAAAATACAATTATAACAAACCTCAGAATTCCAGTTCCTGCTCCAATGTCCAAAACACTTTTGGACCCCAAACAAACTGCCTTTTGGATGGCTGCATTATAAATCATATTCCTCTTGCTGTCATTAAGCATGATAAAGTGCCAGCGTTCCACCAACCAGTTTGCAACACGATAAAAATTCTCTTTTGCATCACTGAAATCAGGGTTTAGCTTCACTGCTTTATGAAAATACCCGGCTGCTTCATCTCTAAAGCCCATCCTAAAGTAGAATAAAATAATGAAAGACAAAAATAAAATATACTCAACAATATGCCATTAATCACAGTGCTTTTGTTCATGCCAATCACCTGGGTAGAATCCCTTACCAGGACCTAAAGGCCAAAGAAGGTAGGAGACTACCTCTTTGGAAAGCTTTCTACAAGGACTACAATCCTTACGACTTCTTTTTCCTGAATCCCTCCTATATTTATGCATCCCAGGACATTAACATACCTGAATATGAATTAATACTGAATTAACATATAGAGAAAGCTCTTATAGTCCTCTTTCACTTACCCAACTTGCTAGAATACCAGTTCTTCCTGGAAACCATTCCTTCCATAATAATACCAATATCCATGGCTAGGAGGCTCCTTTCCAGTATACCTGCATTTTTTTTTCCTCTCAACAGCTGAGTCATTAAGAGTCAGTTGTATTTGCTGCCAAACTAGTTTACACCAGTTGCACTGTTATTAAAACTCACACTTTAATTAATTTTTAAAGGAAGCAAATACATACATCTGCAAAAAGAGAACCATTTTGTCTAAGGATATTAAATGCTTTAGGAAAAAAAGTCAAAGACAAGTCACCCAAAAAATTTTTACTAAATTAGATCTGAGCATAAAAAAATCACAGACAGGAAGAAAAAACTATCAAAACATTTAGTACAGTGTTTCTCAAACTATCTGGTGAAGAACCCCTCCTCCCTTTTTAAAATACTGAATTGCTTGTAGACCAATGTGGCTGCACTACACCTGGTTACCATGTAGTTCACATAACATGGGATTTTAGCAGCATCCAAACCAGTCTGCACTCCATTTAGGATGAGAGCTCCCAACCATCTGCTTAGATTTACAGCAATGTCATAATTCCTATACATATTTCTAAACACTCACATTCTATACTTATCTGTAATTAACCAGTAATTTGAACAGAATTAAGCTAGAATTCTTTTTACTCATACTACTTCACAAGCATTCATTAAGCACTGTCAATTCTGAAGAAACAAATTAGACTACTCATTCTGGGTATGGTTTAAGCAAAAAAGACATTCTGGAACTCAAGGGTCCATACTATAATAAAAAGCAATGCTGTGTCAAATGATGGGCACTCATATTTGAGGTTAAAATTAAAATGTTTAAGGTTAGTATATATTCATTTTAAGTTATTTTGAAGGGAGAGCCATCTAGTTCATATTGTACAACTGCCATAGTATAAAATATACTGTGTAAAATCAAAATTTGTTGAAACTAACTTACCAATGTATATTAAAATATTCCCAAGTATCAATGATTAATCTGTTGAATCAATGCCAAACATACTAATTAATTTCCTGAGTTTGTGCTTCCTTTGGGTTTGATATTTAATGTACTATCCATTTTCTTTAATTGCAATGCTAATCTAAAAACATTCATTCAGCATATCTCATATTAAAAGACTGAACATGTGTTCCAATAATATCAATGAACTGCAAGAATGCCTTTTTTTCTTTTAACTAGGAAAATCATCATCTTATTAGCAATTTAAATATATTTTCTTTAAATCTGATGTCACTGGACTAACAAAAGGTTGTAAAGACGAGACCTTAAACAAATTTTATTTCACAAATAAATGTCATGAAACAAAACTATCATTTACTTCAGTACTCTTTCTCAGAACAGTATTTTGGTAGGGAGTGAGTCAATGTTTTTTAAAAGTAGCACAGAACAACAACAACAAAAACTATTGTCCTAGACAATGAGGATAAAGTGTAACAAAATGTCTGAACTAGAAATTCTGCTATTACACCTCCCAAAGAAAATTCATACCAAGTTATTTTTGGCTCAGTAATTGGTAACTGTTCTACAAGTCTTATATAATAATAAGTCACAGTTACAATGTTCCTAGTGGGTAGAGCTACAATTTTGTTACATTGTTTATCCTGAAACACAGTCTTGCATTATCATGATCACTATTGTGTATAACTGAAAATATAACAATCTGCTGGGTACTTGCTTTACTTTAGAATTTTGATATGTGCCAGGCAGGGCATAGCTAAATGGCCAGTCCCTGGGTACTGAACCTCTAATGAACTTCCCTGGTTCACATTTCAGAGATGTTATCATGACTTGTTGCTGGGGAAAGGAAAAGCATCCTCGGGAGGCTTGAATCTAGTTCCCTTGAGACTTTGCCCCATGCACTTTTCCCTTTGCTAATTTTGCTTCATATTCTTTCACAATAATAAATTTGAATCATGACTATGAATATACGCTGAGTCGTGTGGACCTCCTAGCTAATCAGCAAACCTGGGAATTGTCTTGGAGACCCCTAAGATAGTCAATTATTAACCCACTGCCAAATCACCCCTTTTGCCTGTGTAAAAAATATATCTGGCCCTTTAATGTTTTGCCAGCAGCCAGCACAGAGGGCAAGAGACATAACAGGAGTAAGGGTTTTGCTTCCCATTTCCAGTGTGCTAAGGGCCTCTCTGGCACCAGACTCCTGAAGTGCAAGGCAGGCAGCAGTATCTCCCAGGACTCCATCTACTGGGTGGTTTTGTAACAGAGTGACTCTCATCTGACACTTCCCAAATGTGGCTTTATCTGGCTCCCCAGAAGGCAAAAATCCAGCAAGTTCCACAAAACAGATTTTCAAGTTCCCTGGCAAAGCACCAATGACTTCCCTGCCAACCTATGAACCACAGCTATGTCTTCTCTAACAAGGACTGGCTCTCAGTCCACTAGGGGGAATTCCTTCTTGGGTACTCTTATCTCAGGCCTAGAAGCAATGATCATTATACAGTATATTATTTAATATTCAATCTGCTATGATAGTACATTTTATATCTGCTATTCTTATATTCTTTTGAATTCTCCTTGTTACCAATGAAGCTCTCATTACTACAATTCCCTCTTACTGTTAATTATTCTCTATATTACAGTTTCCCTGTTCAAATTACAATTTTATTCCTGATCCAGACTGATACAGAATAATTCTTAACAATTAATACTGAAGCTACTACAAACCTGAAGAGATGTTCCCCCATACTATTGCAAATCACTTCATCATCAGGAAATAGTTCCAAGGCCTGCTCATAGCAACCAAGTAAGTCTTGTATTCGATTGAGGGCATCAAGCTCTTCAGCCCATCGGAAGAGTGTATACTGAAAAGTTTCCTTTACATATAAGAAATAAAAGTGAATTAGTGAATAACATAATGGAGAAAAGAATATCCAACATTAGCTAAAGTTTCCAAAAAACAAAACTTAACTATTACTGAATGATCACCTTAAATTTCATTTAATTTTAGTGAGTAATATTTACTGAATAAACATCACACACACATACACACACGCGAATTAATTTTACCACCTACCTGGCAAAAATGTGCAGAATTAATTTGACTATGGAAATTCCTTCCATTCTTAGCCGCTATGTAGCACATTCTCCTGATTCTTTCCTACTTCTTTTTTTTTCCCCCTTGTGGGCTCCTGTGTTTCAGGATATTGTCCTTGGCCCTCTTCTCTACTCTCATCTATCCCCAGTTCATTATCATTTATGTGTTAATGGTGATACATCTACACGTCTAATTAAGTCCTTCTCTTCTGATCCTCAAACGGATAAATACAACTTCCTATTAGTCATCTCAACCAGGCAGTAGGTCCCTGGTCCTCTCAAATTTAGCCAAATTCAACTATGTCCTCAACAATCAGTAAGCAAAGAACAGAAGCTACCACTCAATGATGACCAACATAAATGCTGTTTCTATCCTCACATGGGCACTGTAAAAAATTTACCATACGATATTGAAAAAGAGTCTTATGACAGCATGTAATGTTAAGTAAGGTACCACTTGAACTCAAATCACAAAGTTATCTTCTAATGCTACCCTAACTCCACATACAATATTTTGTATTGTAAGCCCTTGTAACCACTTGCTGGACTACAGCAATAGCTTTCTGTTACCCGAGTTCCAGGTGCATCTCCCCTCCACCCATTCTTCACACTGCAATACTGTGGAAAGCAGGCAAACTCCAGACAAGCCAGCTTTCTTATGTCAACATTGTGGAGAATCATGGGTATTTTATCATTGTTTCTTTAAAGCCCACATTGCAGTTGAGTTTTGAGCCTGTAGTATAACTTTAATTCTCTACCTTGTAACACACATTATGCATACATCATTAGATGTTCGAACTGTTTGATATGACTTAAAGAATATCATTTCTTCCTCATTCCAATATGTCAAAAGTTCAAGTACATATACATATTATACATAGATATGTGTATATATGTATGTATGGATCTTCCTGATTTCCTTGACCACAAACCTTAGTCTTTACATATTTGTTAATCAATTACCTGGAAGGTTTGTTTCTAGAAACAACAAGGATAAAAAAAAAAGTTATATCAATCTTTATACAATACCTGGCTATCCTTAGAATTGAAATGGACAGACAACAGAACCAGCATAACCTGATGAAAGTGCTCCTGGTATGACCTTTCCGACCCTCTCCTCACATCAAAATCCAATATAAAGGTTCCTACTTTCTCCCTGGCATCACATGCCTTTCTCAGAACTCATCTGCTGGTCTACTGAAGTGTATCAATAAACTTTTAACTTTTCTATCTTCCCTAACTGTTGGCAAATTCTTTTACCAACTGCAGCACCAATCTCTCACAGGCTGCACCTCGCACAGCAAACATTTTTAATCATCTTCAATTGCTTTATACAGAAGGACTGATATCTAAAACTCAATTGTGATGGAGATTACTATAGAGACAAAGCAAATTAACAAAATTATAGTGTGTGAGGGAAAAACAGATTATTTGAGATGGACCAGGGGCTCTAGAGATAAGTAGCTTGGTGTGACTGGCTTCTGGTTATGGGGAACAGAGGGAATAGCATGAAACAAGACTTTTGTAAAAAAAAAAAAAAAAAATTGTGTGTGTCTGTGTACTTTGTTCTGCAGGAAACAGAGTAAGTTACTGAACTTTACACTGAATGCCAACCACTGCAATGCAAATTCTACACATATTTTAATACATACTAAACATCTTTAAAATAGATATTGCCTCTATTTACAGAAGAGAAAATGAAGTAACAAACAGCATATGGGCTGATCCACTGCTGCTTACACAGAGGACCAAACTATGTCAACATAGTCAGTAATCTCCTTTGTAAACTATAAAAATCTATGCTACTGACATCTAGCAGGTAGAGGACAGAGAAGCTGTTAAACCCCCTACAATGCACAGGACAGCCCCTCAGAATGAATTACTCCACCCATAATGCCCACAGTGCTAAGGTTGAAAAACAATCTCAATAACCTCCAGCTGAAAACTGTGAAATTAACTTAAATCATTTTTAGAAATTTAGATTCTAAAACTACTTGAAAAGATGTACAGTATTTCAACAGGAAAACTGTTGCAAATAATTGCTGACGTTTAAAAAAATGTATCATCAGCTAGAGAATACTTTAGGTTAAGTACATTTCATTCACCTACAGAGACCCCAATGTTCCTTCTACACACAGTAGTTACAAATGCAAAGGCTTGAAGACAGGCGTGCTTGAATTAGATACAGAGGTGGAAAAGGATTACGTAAGGCTTCACTTGCAATTCTAGGACCTTTGAAATTTTGAGATGGAAATTTCAAAATAGAGAAATGATATCTTTGACTTCTTATAAAAAGCTGGCTGTGTTGAGAAAGACTGTAAGACAGAGATCAGCAGAAAATCTACTGCCAACACTTGGTAGACGGCTGAGACTTGAGCCATAGTAAAGGAAAAGGCAATGAAAAGTGCTAAGATTCGAGACATAATTTTGAAGGTAGAGCAGACAGGCCTGTGGGTTTGAATAAAATTTAGTCAAGAATAAACAATAAATACCAATAAATAGCAACCACAACTCATGGACCTAGGACTCCGTCTGCTTTTCTGTTTTTTGTTTGTTTGCTTGGTTGGCTGCTGTTGTTTTACCTGCTAACAAGTTAAAGGGACCTCACCTTCACGTCGTCCTTCAGCTCAGGCGCCAGGTTGAGCACGAGGAGGTAATGGGCATACGCAGTGCCGAAGTCCTGTGTGCCCAGACAGTGCTCTGCGCTCTGCAAGGACCGCAACACCAGCTCGTCCCGGCCGGCTGCCCCAGAGCCACCTCTGGCGCCCCAGCGGGGCCTGGGTCGCGAGTTCGACATGACCGAGTCACTGCTTATATGACCACAAGGATTATGTTTTCGTAAAGGAAACCAGAAGACTGCCTCGCCGTTACACTTCCAATTAACCGACTACAGCTCAAAAAGCAGCGCAGAAATCAACTTCTCCGTCACAGGCGAGCGCGCCCGCATAGGCCAGCGGAAGGCCCGCCCTTCAAGGCGAGTAAGGCGGGGCACACAGCGCAGGCCCCGCGCACGCGCGGTACCTGAGGACTCCGGCCGGCGGCGCGCGCAGAGAGGACGTCACCACGCACGACGTGGGCACGTCGCGCCATTCCTCCGCAGGATGCGTCCGTTTATGGCTAGCCTTCAGATTAGGAGTTCGAGCGCGAAATCCTCCTATGTAGGTGCAGTCATTGCAAAGCTACATCCAACTGTGAGCGACGCTTTCGTGGTGACCTTTAAGGCGTTTTGGATCTCGGAGTATCAAATCTCACAGCAAGACTGGAACACGGAAATAAAAGCGCCTGTTGTGTGGTATAGGAAATATAGGGTTGATTTTAATTGCCACAAACCTCGCGAGGTGGCCCTTTGGCTCATATGCATTTTAGAGGAAGGAAAAATGACTTCCCAAGAAATAATTTGGTCAAGCTCTCACAACCAGTTAGTGGCACTGATATGGCTCAAATACAAGTTTGTTGGCTACCTGTTATATTAATACAGAAAGAGTGTACTTCAAAAGTGGCCCCTAAGGTAGAGATTCAAAACTTAGGAGAGGGTGGGAATACGAATTACAACCGAAAGAGGTCGTTTTTTCATCATTTTCAAATGTGTTCGTGCAAATATCTTAAATGAAAAATGTAACGGAGACAAGAGAGGGCAGAGAGACCACCCATGGCAGGTCTCGTGCAAGTAAGGAGGTTGGTTTATTCACTTTCGTGAGAGCACACAAGCGGGCTGAGTCTGGGAAAAGGGGACTCAGCAGCTAGCAAGATGAGAACCAGAGTTTTAAAGGGGAGGGAAGGAGTTTGCTGCCTTGAGGAATTTGGAGGCTGACAGTGAGGTCACACTTACTGAGACAGGCAGTGGTTGCAGATGTTCTCAGGCTTTCTGGAACTAGTGGCGGTGGGGACATGATTTACTGACTTTGTTCTTTTCCGTGGTTTCCTGCTGTGCCTGCAGGTAATGGACCTTATCCATCGGGTGTGACTGTCCGGTCTTTTTGTTGTTATAAAGAGAAGAGGGAGGAGCTGGGGATTTAGCTCAGTGGTTACGGCGCCTGCCTTGCAAGTGCAAGGTCCGGAGTTCGATCCCTGGAGAGTGAAGGAGGTGGATAGAGCATTTTTGGTCAAACTTTAGGGGTTCCTCCAATTCTCAAAAATTTCTTTTGCATGTCCTTTTGGCTTCTTTTTTGATCTGGTTGTTTGACCCACTCTTTCTTCTGAGCATCTACCTATGTAAATTCTAGTCAGTTATTCAGGATCCAATCCAATTCAGGAGACTGTGACCTGCCCCTCTGAATAGAAAGTTCCTCAAAGGCAGGACCTATTCCTAACCTCTTTTGCCCTATTGGACAAAGTCAGGACATTGATGTTTTTCAGTGTAATAGAAAGCACACACCCCAAAAAGCATATCCCTACTCCCAGGTTCATGTAGATTTTCCCAAATATCCATGTCATTATTTCTCTCCCGTTCTTAATTGCTGCTTTCTGTAATTTGGGACTTAACCATATGGTATTTCCCTAAGAAGACTGAGATGCCAGCCAGGTGTAATGGCCTATGACTTTAATCCCAGCACTGTGAGAGGAAATAAAGATCACGAATTAGAGCCCATCCTGGACAGCTTAGTGATTTAGTAACACTCTGTCTCAAGGAGGGCAGCGAGACCTTAGTTCTTTGTGAAGGCCCTGCATCCAGTCTTTAGTACTGCATGTGTGTATGTGCAAGCGCACACCTGCATGTGGAAACACGTGCACACACAGACACACACACCCCTCTACCTATAAGCCCAGCGTTCTTGGGAATGGGAATTGGAGGACGGGGTGGACTTCTGAAGCATTGGAAGTAAAGGTAAGGTTAGTATAAACCAGTATGTACTCAGTATGGCAAATGAAACATTGCCAAAAGCCAAAAATTTAACTTTGGTATCAGAATTTGAACAACACTCCTCTATAATTTGTAGTGAAGTGTCTAGTATCTGTTGTATGATGCAACACAATAGTGATGTAGGAGGTAGGGCATGGCAAAGCTGGCTGGGGAAATAAGCAGGACCTAGAAATTTATGAGACCTCAGGGCACCCATGGCTGCAGAAGGGGCAGGACCTGTGAATTTCAAGATCCTAAAGTGACCCCAGATAGCTCTCAGGAACTTCTCACGAGCTCCTACAAAATGTGGACAATGTGGATGGCATAAAAGAGATGAGATACCAGGAGGAGCTTGCTATCCTGACTCTTCACAATAGCCCATCCTGGGTCTCCCAGACCCACTTTGTTACTATTTTTTATGCTCTTCTCTCTCTGTTTGACCTAAGTTTGCTCTGCAGAGCTAGTTCTTCCCTTACCACTTCACCTCTCATTTAAAAATAAACTTTTGACACCGGTGTTGGTTAGTCTAATGCAATTCCTTCTTCGGAACAAGAAGGACCTAGAATACTTTTGTTTGGTGAGCCATCCCCCCCCCC